TGGGGTCAGCCAGTTAGTAACAGGTGTGAGAGTACTGGCTGTGTTTTAAAGCACTGAATCCATGTTGTCTGTGTTGCAAACAATACTGCTTCTGTAAAATGTTGCATTTAAACTTCACAGAGACGACCGTGGAAGCCCAGCCTCCCTCTTTGTTATCGCTGGCTGAATGGCTGTGCAGAATTAGAAAGTGGCTAAGAAGAACTAAGGAGGACTTTCTGCGTGATGTTATGATGCACTCTGCTGCCGAGAAACGGGAATTGAAGGAGTGGCGGGACAGTGAGAAGAGCCAGATGAAGCCACGGAGCGGCTCTTAAAGGTTATGGAGTGCCAAGCACACACGCTCCAAGAGATACAAGCTCTTCAAAGCAAACAGCTCAGCGCCCACCCTCCTATGCAGCCACTGTTGCAAAACTCTTTCCCATGCACCCCCAGACACTGCCAAGACACTCTTATCAACCTCCTGGCTCCAGTCTGTACCCACACCATTCCACTCCTCCCCGCCACAGTTCAGCATTGTGGACTCCCACACCCATCCCTCTGCAGTTTGGCCCTGCTGAAGTACAGTTCCCGTTGCATTGTACTACATCCCTGGACCCCTTCTCCCAGGACCTTCCCTTCCCCCATCCACCTTCCCTTATCCACCCTACTACTACTTTTTGTTTGGCTCTCTCCTCCAGTTGTAGTCGTCTTTTAATAAAGTAATTGTGTTGGTTTAAAAGCAACCTTTATTCTATTAATTGAAAGCAAAAAGAGCACCGCAAAGCAACAAACAATTAGGTTAAACCCACATATTGTATCATGTGCACCAATCATTTCCTGGCATTTCAAGCACTGCACTCCCGAGCATAGCAACAAATATTAGTGGCTTTCAGCTTCAAATTGCTGCCTCAAGGCATCCCTGATCCTTATGACCCCGTACTGTGCCCCTCTAATAGCCCTGGTCTCTGGCTGTTCAAACTCAGCCTCCAGGCGCTGAGCCTCTGCGGTCCAGCCCTGAGTGAAGCTTTCGCCCCTCCCTTCACAAACATTATGGAGCATACAGCATAGGAATATTGGCTTTGCACAAATGAGCAAAAAGCATAGGAATATTGTCATTGGCCAGGTCCAGCTTCCCATAGAGGCAGCACCAGCGGGCTTTTAAATGGCCAAAAGCACACACAACAGTCATTCTGCACTTGCTCAGCCTGTTGTTGAATTGCTCCTTGCTGCTGTCAAGTTGCCCTGTGTATGGCTTCAAAAGCCACAGCATTAAGAGGTAGGTGGGCGTCTCACAGGATGACAATGGACATTTCGATTTCCCCTACAGTGATCTTCTTTCTTCGGGAAGAAAGTCCCTGCTTCCTGAACAGGCCAGTGTTCCAAAAAATGTGTGCATCATGCACCTTCCTGGACCACCCTACATTAATGTCTGTGAAACGCCCACGGTGATCCACAAGTGCCTGGAGAACCATTGAGAAATACCCCTTGTGATTAATGTACTCGGTGGCTAGGTGGTCTGGTGCCAGAATTGGAATATAACTGACATCGATCGCCCCACCACAGTTAGGGAAGCTCATTTGTGCGAAGCCTTCAACAACGTCATGCACATTGCCCAGAGTCATGGTCTTTCAGAGCAGGATGTGATTAATGGCCCTGCACACTTCTGTCAACACGAGTCCAATGGTAAACTTTCCCACTCCAAACTGATTAGCGACTGATCGGTAGCAGTCTGGAGTAGCCAACTTCCACAGTGCAATCACCACGTACTTCTCCAATGGCAGGGCAGCTCTCATTCTTGTGTCCTTGCGCCGCAGGGCTGGGGTGAGCTCATCACACAGTCTCCTGAATGTGGCTTTCCTCATCCGAAAGTTCAGCAGCCACTGCTCGTCATTCCAGACGAGCATCACGATGTGATCCCACCACTCAGTACTTGTTTCCTGAGCCCAAAACAGCGTTCCACCGTGGTCAGCACCTCCACGAATGCCACAAGCAATCTCATGTCGTAGCTACTACACATGATGAGATCAATGTCACACTCCTCTTGCTTTTATAGTTTAAAGAATAACTCCACTGCCACTCGTGACATGTTGGTCAGAGTAAGCAGCATACTGGTCAATAGTTTGGGATCCATTCCTGCAACCCAAAGAGGCAGGACGTGCAGTACACAAACGGTTGAAAGATAGTGCCAAATGCAGACGGAAGCACAGGGATTGCTGGGATGCAAAGCAATGCATCACGGGTCATTGGAACAGGACCCAGGATGCCTCACAATCCCGTCCACCTTCCCACAAGTCTTAGCGGCAGAAGAGAAAGAGGTGCTCTGTGGGATTGCTGCCTAGAGTGCACTGCTCCGAATACTGCTGCAAGTGTCAGAAGCGTGAACACGCTATTGTGCATGCAGCTGACAGCGTGAACACACAACAGAGGTTTCCCTTCAGCACTCTGAGCAGCGCTGTAAGTCCTGGAGCTGTAATTCTGCCAGTGTAGACATGCTCTCAGTTTAATCTTAGACTGCTCACAAGGCACATTCTACATATGGAAGCAAAGAACTCAAGGCTAAGGGTTAACTTTCTGATTACTGGAAAGTAGCAACACATTGTCAAATAACACATTGAAATAGAAATATGTATGGATATGTTTAATAGTGTTGAACAATAGGAATAGTGACTCATTCATACAGCAACAAAATATACAATGTAAGAAGCCTCATCCTCAAATATTTCCTTAGAATGGGAGAGGAGAAGGTGAATACTGTATATTTTGGTATCTGCTAGCACATGAAAGCTATAAAGAGATACATGTCAGGAGAAAAATCCTTTGCACTAAGAGTTTGAAGGAAAAGAGTGATAAATGTAATGTCAGAATCAAAAGACTTCTCAGACAACTACGCATCAGGGGACTAAATATGCTAAAGATGCATAAGACAGCACTTTTAAAAGGTCCTGGAGCAAAGCCTTTCCCTATTGTTGGTAAGCATCTTGCTGCTCTCTTCCTTACTCAGGGTGCTGGACCATGCTTGGCAGATCTCCATCTTTCATAACAATACCTGGCTATTAGGCATTTTATAAATTTGAAGCACCCCCCCTTACTGCAAGGACTTGTCTTCATTAGGGAAAAGGGTGTGTTCTTACCTTGTGTTAAGACAACACAGCATAAAATTATAGTGGAAAAAAAGGGAGTTGTACTATTGACACCTTAGCATGTAGAGGTAAACACTTATCTCCCCACTAGTATTAACACTGAAAACTACAACTGCCTTTTCTTCGCTAAGATTTTATGCTATGTTCTTACCGTCTGTTAGTTAATACATCTTTCTTCCTTGACTGGATGCACCCATAAAGAGAATTTCTCTCTCTTTTCCTTATTTTAGAGATTCCTGACTTTTACAGGAAACATAACATATGGTAGTCTCTTCTTTAAGATAAAAAGAAAAGGAGTACTTGTGGCACCTTAGAGACTAACCAATTTATTTGAGCATGAGCTTTCGTGAGCTACAGCTCACGCTCAAATAAATTGGTTAGTCTCTAAGGTGCCACAAGTACTCCTTTTCTTTTTGCGAATACAGGCTAACACGGCTGTTACTCTGAAACCTGTCATTCTTTAAGATAGTGTTCCTGCAGAATCTACCTGTATTGCTGATTTCAAGAGCAGCAACAGCTTTTGTTGCTGCATGGCAAAACTATGATGAGCCAGGTCTGTGGGCAGACAGCACAATATCTTTCACAGCCACAAGTTCTAGAATTAAAAATAAAATAAAAATGCACATTCTGCAGAAACTGATAGCTCTGCAGGTAAACACCATCCCAGCAAGGAAAGCTTCCTACTAGACATTTACAAGTAAATTTTTAGAGCCCTCACTAAATTATAGGGACAACCTCCCCTAGAGACGTTTGGCACAAATGATACAGCATGTGAAAAAGACAAACCAGTTCCCTGTGTGAATATTGCCCTTATGATAGCCCTGCAACAGGACAAATAATCCTTTGCACTTCACTGGGGTCCACTTACCATCCAAGGAAAGAAGTTGATGTTTGTAAGGTTCTCACCACAACGCCCTAATGTGACTATTACTGTGTCCATTCTACAGATGGGGAAATTAGAGCACATAGAGATTTACTCGCCTTGCCAAAGACACCACCGGATGCAAACTGGGGAATCGGGGCCTCCCCCCGTCAGCAGAGTAGGTGGCGGGGGAGAGGGGGTCTGTCACCCATCCCCACTGTCGCGGCCGTGGTCTGGGACAACCCAGTGGAGCTGCGTGTTTGGTGCCCCCGCACACGTTCGGGGGGGGGGGGGGGGTCTGGACCCAACACCGCAGCGCCTGGGGGCGGGGAGCTCTAGGCAGGAGGGGGCCGGGGCCTCGCACCCTTACGGGGCTGAGGGAGGGGCTCTGCTAACAGCACCCGGCGTAGACAGGAGCCCCACCAGGGACAGCCGGGCGGCTGCCGGGCCCGCTCGGGGGTCGTTCCTCCCCCTTCGTAGACACGGCGCCTCTCGCCGGTACCAGCTGGTGGAACGACTCGCTGGTGCCGCCCGGCCCTGACCAAGGCACGGGTCTCCCAGGGGCTCGTGTCGCTCTCCCCAGCCCCGCTACTGACTCCACTTACCGGAGGACGGGAAGGAAACCACCCAGTTGGGGCGAGTAGGTGGGTAGGGGACTAGCCTGGTCCCGTTACCCACAGGCAGACGCACAACGTGCTCCTACTGCCACCCGGCCAAAATGGCCGCCACCCCCCGAGAGGAGCTGGAGCCACTAACCATAGAGACGTAAGGAGAGAGGGGAAAAGACGCTCACCATAGAGAGCAGGGGGACGCTAAAAGAACGCGACGCCTCAGGGCAAAGGCGTGGCTAAGAGAGTTTCGGAGATGCTTCTGGACGCGTCTGTTGCGTGACGTCATGGCTGAGTGACGGCTCTGGGGGCTGGAGCGGAGAGCGAGCTGCGGAGTGGGTGGGGCGGCTGTAACGTAAGTGCTCCCCCTCCTCCCGTGAGGAGGTTCTGTTTCCCCTATTCCCCCTCCCTCCCCGTAGCAAGGGGCGGGCCCCGCGCCGGGGCCTATGTGCCGTGGCCGGCGCGGCCCAGCAGGAAGTGGGGGCAGCTGGTGCCCGGGGGCCCGAGAGTCTCTGCGCTCTGGCGCGTTTGGCAGGTGAATTCATCGCTCGTGGTTTCTCAGGGGCCCCAGCCTGCGCCTCTTCCTGGCTACTGCACAGGTACGGGCAGTGCCAGCTTCCCCGCACGGGGCCGCCGGCCTGAGACCCCGCTGCCCGGAGTGAGAGCGAAGCCCCTTCTCCATGGCTCGTTCAGGCCTTCCTCGGGACTGCCAGGGTAGTTTTTTTTTGCTAGGTGCACCCCTCGCTGTGTCAGACTCTGCTCTGAGGAGACCCTTGTATTTCATAAACCACTAACATGGGGTCAGGGTCAGAAGTCTGTATCTACGTATCAGTCCTCTCTCTTAAGCCAAAAGTATGTGACTCTGGTTACACCCTCTGAACAAACTGCCCCTCCCCGCCCCCTTTGCAGGGTTGAGTTTGGATAGAGTTAGTTGGCTGCGTTGACTAGACTTACAGAGTTTATTTTGTCTATTGGTAGTATTTTTACACTTCCCAAAATGTGACTTAGTTTTTCTCTTAGTAACTTTGCCAGATTGCGTTTAGGGGAGAAACATGGTCGGGCTTTCAGGATTCCACAAACCTGATACGACTTGAAGGTTGGCTAAACTATTTAATTTCAAATCCCATTATCATGAATGTGATGGAGGGCTTGGGGATCTGCCCATAATTATATTTCTGGTAAAATAAATAATAACTTGGTGGAGTTGTAAAAGAAGCCTGACCAAAACTAGGTATGACTAGCAAGAGCTGTGAGAGACCACTCTGATCTGTGCTAGCCTTTAGAAAGACTGTTGTTAATTACAGTATTGTTAATGGGATTTTTGCTAGGTCTCTGCTGCCCCACAGTTGAAACTACAGTGAACAGCAGTATGCAACAAAGTGTAACTTCCCTGTGTGGAATACTGCCAGCATGAACTAAAAGGCTCCTAGTTCATATTAACGTAGTCCTCTTTGAAGAGGACTGTACTAGGAACCTTTCAGTTTGCTTCCACACAGGGGAGTTACAGTGCGGCACTTTGGTATGCACTGCTATACGCATCAAGGTAGTCCAAACTGCAGGGCGATGTAGGTGACCTCTTTGTTTTCAGTGGTCTGTCTCTTAGGCCTAATATAAGTTTGCAGTTCTTGTACTGATTTTAACTGTTTTGGTCAGGAGTGTATGTATTTAATTTTAACCAAAATAATTTTTGGTACAACCCCTAAAGTGCAAGCAATTATACCAATATAGCTTATTCCTTTACGTTTAGGGTAGGGGTGGCCAATCTGAGCCTGAGAAGGAGCCAGAATTTACCAATGTACATTGCCAAAGAGCCACAGTAATACGTCAGCAGCCCCCCGTCAGCTCCCCCACCCCGCTCCCAGGGCCTCCCACCCGGCAGCAGCCCACTGATCAGCACCTCCCCATCCCTCTCCATACCTCCCAATCAGCTGTTTTGTGGCATGCAGGAAGCTCCAGAGGAACAAGGGTACGGCAGGCTCGGGGAGGATGTGGGAAGGGTGGAGTGGGGGCAGGGCCTGTGTCAGAGCCAGGGGTTGAGCAGTGAGCACGCCCTGGCACATTGTAAAGTTGGTGCCTGTAGCTCCAGCCCCAGAGTCAGTGCCTATACAAGGAGCTGCATATTAGCTTCCAGAGAGCCGCATGTGGCTCCGTAGCTGCAGGTTGGCCGCCCCTGGTTTAGGGGAATAAACCATAGTGGTATAAGCACTGCATAATGATATAACTGTGTTAACAGTAGATGGTTGAACCATTTTAACTATATAGGTTTCAAACTGATATAGTTAAAGTCGTATAAAAGCAGTGTGTAGACAAACTCTTGGAGAAACCAGTGAGTTCAAAACTGTGGGTTGGGATGGGGTTGTAACAAGAAAAAAATATTTGGGAAAACAGTTAGTATTCCTTATCTGATTAGGGCTTGACAATGAGTATCAAGGGAGATGCATCTGTCTCTAGACAGCAGTATGGTCTGATGGGCAGACTAGAGTGGTCAAACTATTCTCTTTCCTTTTTTCCCCTTTGTCTTCTGTAGCTAAGCTGAGAATGCTTTATCTAGTTTTCTTATGAAAAATGTAAGTCTAGATATGTTAAGCAAGCCATTAATTTTATTTTAATTCCATGTTCTTTGTTAATAAATCTCATATTTGTTAAGATTACAGCTGTTTGGGTGACTTCACAGAAACATCCCAAAGAGAAGAGAACTCCTTTACCCTTCAGCCTTCTCCTTAGAGGTTACGAGTTTCTGAAAAATACATATCCTTCTTAGTCTTGGCCAAGGGTATACCGAGGTCTCTTTCCTCTGGTGAATTGTGTTGCCATCAGGCTGCTGTGGAATAGCACAAAGGGAGGAACTGAGAGGTGGAGGGGGTGTTCATAAGAAACAAACCTTTTTATGTAGAGTTTAATGTCATTTAGAAGTGAAATTGTTAAATTTCAAGGTTATAATGCTATCACGAGAAACTTACAGATGGTCTGGTGGTATTAGGGGTTCACTTAGATGGAGAAGATGCATCCTTAGAAACTTCAGCTGTAAGCATTCTCCTCCTCCCTGTTGCTAAGGTCTGAGCCATGCAGGGAGAGGAGAGGAAGAGACTTCCAGCCAGATTAATTGTAATTTTTTTCCATAACCCAGGGAGGAAAAAAGTGGAAATTACTCTTACCTTACTATTTTCTCTCGCCCCAAAAGAATTATGATGGTTTCATAAAACATTTGATCTGAAAACATCACTTGGTAAGCATATTTATTATTCAGAAATAGATGCACATTGGCCACAATGAATAACTTGCAGTTCTTTAAATAAAATACAAGAACCCATTAATCAAGTTTTCACTTTGCAGGCCTACAACTCTTTTGTTATCTGCCTTTACACACTAATGTGCTCTTATCACTTGATTACTTTCCAGGCTTTCCTATTAGGAAGCGCCAAACAAACCAATCAGAATGTGATTAAAAATGTGCTATATAGATGCTGAACTGGTTGGACACACTGCAGCTCATAAAAAGTGACAACATTCTGAATTCAGCCATTCTGTTGTCAATGATTTTCCTGTATATTTTTCTCACCATTTTAGTGCAGTGAACGGTGGCAATCTCTTTTGCAGTCATAGATTTGGAGTGGACATCTTTGGGTCTTCAACAATTCTTTGTGCTAGAAGGGAAGTAATTCAGGTTTATATTGCAATGGCCACATTTTAGCCTCGTCTTCATTTTCTGACCCCAACCTTTGTCTTTAGGGTCAATTTGGGGCTTAGTTTTGGGAAAAGTTCCATAGCTTCTCTGAATGACTATTATTTTTTATTTTATACTCTTGTGGATCAGTTCTTTATTAATTAGATCAAACCAGATCTTTACTGAGAGTACAATGGCAATATTGTTGCATTATCATTTGATACCCCACTTCGAAATCTTTTTAATTTCTTTTGTAAATTTGATGTGTCTCTTCAGAACCCCTTGTGTAAAATATGTTTGATCAAAATCTTCCTCATAGTCACTGCAAATTTCATACTTATTGGTTGAAAATGTAGAGAGAGTCTTTTTTGAGAATTCTACCAAGTGTCATTGGGAGGCTTGGGCATCAATTGTTTTTCAGACAACCGATCTTCAGTATCCTTGTGGTTGCAGAAAGATCGAAAGTTCTTCACAATATGCTTTAGATCTGTATTGAGTGTTAATTTTTTCTCACTTAGGGTGCTGAACACCCATGCCTCAGAAGTTTAGGATAATTGCACCTGAGTAGTTCACCCATACCTCTTGTCTGAGTAAATGGTAAAGCTTTCTTGGTCCTATCTTTCTGCATATTCTTGCATGGTATTTTAAGCAACTTGGAATTTATATTCTGCAGTCTTCTCTTCATAAAGATTTCAAGATATATAGGGTTAGGAGCTGGAAAGGGCTGTAGCAGATCTGGAGGGCTAAGGAGATGGGGAGGCAGGAGGGAAAGCAGAAATTGTGTATGACTTTTCATGCTCCAGTCCTGCCAAGACTTATGCATCAAAGTCAATGGGACTACTCACAATGTGTGAAGTATGCCTTTGCTAGATCAGAGCCACAGTATTTGATCAGGCTCCATGTTGAAACATAAAATTCTTATGAAAATATAGCCAAATAATTGCTTTTTTTTAGTTTTAAATGTTACCTTGTTTTGACATTTTCTGTAGTCTGAGTCTTGTGAGAAATTTCAGAGTTGTGGCTTTGAGATTGTAGTGTATTTTCAAACATCAACAAACTCTGGGAATATTTCAGGAAGAAGTGATTTTAAAATACTTTACAATTCTGCCAGGAAGTCTCTAGAATAAGTGAGTGTCTAGAATATGTTTATCCATCTCCTTGAAATAGTCCCCATTTGCAAAGTGACTTGTTCTACTTGTTTAAAGGGTTTATAGCCCACTTTTAAACAGGAAACATGACCACTGGAAGGAAAAACAAAGGTATCTGTACAAGTGGAGATTTGCCTGTGGAAACTATGGGGTTTCCTTTTACTTCAAGAAGGGAAATTATTAAAAAAATTAAGAGTGTGAGGTTTTGTTAGAGACTATGTTTAAAGCTAACATGATAATAGCTCTTGTAAATTGGAGTAAACTGATATAATTTTCTTTGGTGGAGTGAAGATGTATTATGTCCCAAACTGTTACATTAGTTGTGATTAGGTGGGAGAGAGTGGCAAGGTTGGTCTCTGTATAAATGTGAGAATCTCCAAAGTGTATTTAAAATCTCATCTACTATGGAAAAAAACACACCCCGGAGCTACATAATTTTCATCGACAGAAGCTGTGGACAGCGCTATGTTCTCCTGCTGACATAGCTACTGCTGCCCGGGAAGATGGTTTTATTATGTTGACGGGAGAACTCTTTCCCATCAGTATAGAGCGGATACATGAATGATCTTACAGTGGTGCAGCTGGATCAGGGCAAAATCTCTTTAGTAGATTTTTGGTGTCATTCCTGATGCATCATATAATTTCTGTAGAGAATAAGGTATGGATTCTGTTGACATTGGTCCAGTTCAGTATACACCCTACCTCATTCTCTGTAGTGTACTGCAAGATACAGGATCCTGTTGGGGTGAAAAAACAGTGTGCTTATCACGCATGCAAAACAAGGCAGGAGAATTGAGGTTGTATAGGCAACCTTGATGATGTAATGTCCTGACTTTTGATTATTTTACTTTACAAAGTTAGTTAATGTAGTATTTTTAAATATGGAATTTCTTGTTTGTTTTTTTAAAAAAACAAACCAGATAAACGAAGAAACAAAAATTCAACCTTTTCATCTGTTTGCTAGAGAGAACAACTCCTCTCAATGCAGGGTGAGTGGGTGGGTGGCCCAGTGTTCAGGGCACTAGCTTAAGACTTGAGAGACCTGGCTTCTTCAGTTCCATCCTCTGCAACAGACTTGCTGTGTAATCTTGGGCAAGTCACTTCCTGTCTCTGTGACTCAGTTCTTCTCTATCTGTAAATTGGGGTTAATAGCAACTGGGAAGTTGAGGATAAATAGATTAAAGATTGTGAGTTGTTCAGATGCTACAGTGATGGGGGCCAATAAGTACCTGTTCAGTATGCGTCGATAACAAGGCAGCTGCAAATGTGCCATTCCATGCACAGCCTTGCATATATCAGTGGATAAGTGTACTTAGATTTTCAGGAAGCCTTTGACAGGATCCCTCACCAAATGCTCTTACATGAAGTAAGCTGCCACGGGATAAGAGGGAAGGTGCTCTCATGGATTGATAACTGGTTGAAAGATAGGAAACAAAGGGTAGGTATTAATAGTCAGTTTTCAGAATGGAGAGAGGTAAATAGTGGTGTCCCCCAGGGGTCTGTTTTGGGACCTGTCCTATTCAACATGTTCATAAATGATCTGGAAAAAGGGGTAAATAGTGAGGTGGCAAAATTTGCAGATTATACAAAATTACTAAATATAGTTAAAACCCAGGCAGACTGCGAAGAGCTACAAAAGTATTTCTCAGAACTGGGTGGCTGGGCAACAAAATGGCAGATGAAGTTTAGTGTTGATAAATGCAAAGTAATGCACATTGGAAAGCACAATCCCAACTATACATATAAAATCATTTAAATTAGCTGTTACCCCTCAAGAAAGAGATCTTCGAATCATTGTGGATAGTTCTCTGGAAAACATGCACTCAATGTACAGCAGCAGTCGAAAAAGTGAACAGAATGCTGGGAATAATTCAGAAAGGGATATTTTCTGTCCTATTATATATCATGTTGCCTCTATATAAATCCATGGTACACCCACATCTTGAATATTGTGTGTAGATGTGGTCGCCCCATCTCAAAAAAGACGTATTGGAATTGGAAAAGGTTCAGAAAAGGGCAACAAAAATTATTAGGGATATGGAATGGCTTCCGTATGAGGAGAGCTTAATAAGACTGGGACTTTTCAGCTTGGAAGAGAGACAGCCAAGAGGAGATATGCTCCATGAAGGTTGTTAAAGAAGTAAAACCTTATTCTTATGTGTATTTCTAGGAATTGACAGTGTAAAACTCGTAGCTGAGCTGCTCAAAATCTATTTTTCTCATTAAGATGAGCACGAGAGAGAACCTTACAATCTTACGCTCCATCTTTACTTCTTTTATTAGTGGGAAATGACTACACCTAACAAGACACCACCGGGTGCTGATCCCAAGCAGTTGGAAAGGACTGGTACTGTTCGGGAAATAGGCTCTCAAGCTGTTTGGTCCCTTTCATCCTGTAAGCCAGGTAAATTGTAAAACACAACAAAACAAACTAATAATTGTGAAATTCAGGGAGGGTATTTTTGCTCTGAGAAAAATAAAACCTTTTTGACCTTGCTAAGTAAAATTGTATGGTGATGAAATTACACATATATAAGCTAGTGTTAGTTTATAAACTAGAGAAATCAGCAAATGATCACTGTTATTTCCTCTGTTTCTTATCTTCAAGTGAAGAAAGAATGTATTATAGTCCATTAGAAATAACTTGGGTCTAGTCTAACATAGACATAGTTTGCTAGTATAGCTATACCCAAAAAAGTGGGTTTTAGCCCACAAAAGCTTATGCCAAAATAAATTTGTTAGTTTCTAAGGTGCCACAAGTACTCCTCGTTGTTTTTAGTATAGAGACAGTTATTCTGGAAGACAAGTGCTTTCCCAAGTATAGCTTATACCTGTTCAGAGAATGAAATAAACTCTACTGTCAAAAATAATATTTTGCCAATGTTGTTGTGTTGACATTGGGGCTTTTGCCAACATAGCTATGTAATCTAAAAAAACCCAAAACTATCCCCCAACCGACATAGCGGCAACACTTAAGGGTAGGCCTGCCATTACGGTGTGGTACTCTAAATGCTATGAGCAAGATAAAACAATCTTAAATGGAGATACAGTGGTTTTGAACATGTCTCTCAAGCAAGAGTAGCTCTTTGACCATATTGTGTGTGTTGGACATATTCAAGTGCCTCCTAGATAAATATCTGTCAGAAAATAATTAAATCAGTTTGCAACAGGTGTGGGAACAGGGATCATTATAGGCTATGATACTGTGCGCAGGTTGAGTACATTCCTGATCTGATGTCCACATATATACTTCTGTTTTGGGTTGCACAACATACTTTAGATCTGGATTATTAATATTCGCTATTTATTGCAGATGGAGCTACGAACACTGTGAACAGCAGCTAATGTGGGGAAGTAGCAAAGGGGATGAAGTTAATAGGTTGAATGGCAGTAAAAGAGGGAAAGAGTAGCAAAGGATTGGCAATGGTAAGGGACAAATCATGATTGGTATAAAACAAAAATCATAAGATTTAGACTTCCTTCATTCGATATAATGTTAGTGAATAAAAGTATTACCAGTGAAATGTGTACTTGAGGGGTCTCCCAGTTGTGTACTTTGGTGATTCAGTAGACAGCTTTTCCAAAAGAGTGAAGTTACGTAATTATATAAAATATTTTTTTTAAATAAAGAATTAAAGTTGTTTGTCTGGCATTTTATTATATTGATAAAGTATTTTATCATGACTTAAAGTAATGATAAAGTAAAGGTCAGCCTTTTGATTACAAAATAGAGGAATGACCTGAAAAATCAGGTATAGTAACATGGCAAACTATTCTGTTTTATGTTACAATTACATAAAGGAACCATTGTAAAACTATCTGTATTATACATGTATAGAACTCAATCCTATAAGCATTCATGCATGTAGTCTTCACTCATTTACGTGGGTACTCCCTTTGACTTTGTTGGTACTATTCCACTGAGTAAGGGTTTGTAGGATCAGACCCATAATAAACAACAAATGTAAGTAATTTTGGCCCACTATCTCAAATACCTACTATTTATAAAACAACAAAATACAGGGGCCAGGAGGAGAGTGTCGTATCTGTTCTTATCAGTTTAATCTCTTTTGATGAACACTTGCAACACCTGCTCTGAAGATGGATTCTCCTGCTGCCATTTTTGAAAAAATTGATGCTACTTTGAAGATGTATTCCACTGCTGCTACTTTGGAAGAAAATCCTCTCTCTGCTCCTGAGACATCCCCAGCTACACTGTGTACCACTACTGCTGCTGCTCCACCAAAGGTCTCTCGGACAATGACTATGAAGAAGATCCTAGGTGCCTCCAGGACATTGCAGACCAGCAGCACGAAGGTGAAGAGCAGTGGTTCTTTGAAGGACCCCCTTCGAGATGCTGTTCCGGTAAGATCCTGCATCCTGAGGCCGGCCTGTTGGGACATCGCAACCAGAAGGAACATCCCCCCACTCCTCAGCAGCACCAGCTGCCTTGGGACAGCCCCCCCCACTTCCCGGCAGCTGCCGACAGAGAGCCCCCCCGCTCTCCAGCAGCACCAGTTGCCAATGGAGAGCCCCCTGGCTCTACAGCTGAGATGACCACCTCCCACCCCCACAGCTGCCAGGTCCCTGACGCTGGTGGTGCTCTCGCTGCTCTACACACCATCAAGAAAGGAATCTCTATAGACGGAACCAGCACATCTCCAGAGGGTCGTGAGCGCCTCGCCGGATGCCTGCCCAGCCTCAGAAACCACCCAGAGGGACTCCAGGACCTTACCGGATGCCTGCCCAGCTGGACCTCTCAACCCCACCCACCCACACCAGGAAGAACCAGCCAGTGGTACTGCTGATGCTCCTGGAACCCCCCTGCTGCAAGGTAATGAGGTCACCATCTATCTGCAGTACCCCCTCGTTGCGGACGTGCTCATCTGCCCCATCTGCTCTCCCCCGAAGCTTCCACCTCCTCAGTGGCATCACCAGGTACCTGAAGAGATGCCACAGCAAGTGGGTCGCTTTCAGCTGTGCCCTCTGCAGCCTGCCCATCGAGACACAGAAGCAATGCAAGATGCACCAAGTCGCCTGCAGGAAACGCCTCAAGGGAACAACACAGTCTCCTGCCCCGGCTCCCAGCCTTCCTGCTGCGCGCCGGCTTGCTGCTCCTGAGCCTCAGCAAAGAAAACTGACCTTGCAAGCTGCCATCAAGAAGCCTGCCCCCGTTGCCAGGCCAGCGGAATGGGATGCTGTGATCGAGCAGATACCTGCTGCCTCGGGGAACATCACCCAGGTCCTTGCCAGCAGGAGGCCCGTCTCACCCTTCCACGTCACCAAGCAGATCTCTATGCTGAGACGACTCAGTGCTACCTTGCCACCTGTCCAGCACCTCCCCGTCCCCAGAAGGATCAGCACCCTACCGTGCATAGCTGCTCGAGATCCTGTCACCGGAAGAGCCAGCACCTCCATGCCCCAGACCACTGTGAGCTCCAACCACCAGAAGAGCCAGCGCCACACCCCGGACCGCCCTGCGAGCTCCAGATGTCACTGGAGGAACCAGCCCCGCAGCCACACCAAAGCACCAGCCCTTCATCACCAGACGGCCCAGTATGGACCCCAAGTCCATTCTGCGGGACACTGTCTACGGGAGATCTCGCGCTCTACCAGCAACCGCCCAGGCAGCAGCCACTCATAGACGGACCAGCAGTGACCTAGCAACCCCTGAGCCGGATCGCGTCTCTCCGACCACTAGCAACACCAGCATCCCGCCAGAGATCCCGCCCCAGCACCCAACCGAAGGGAATCCTGACCCACGAGATAGACGGCAGGCCGACCACACAGCAGGCTCAAAGCCTGCACCAGATGAGGTCGAGAACCCTGAGGGCCAGCAGCCGATGGTGAGGGCTGCCACTCCGTGGCATACTGCCTGGACCGAGGAGCTACAAGCAGCAGCATCCTTTGACGACTTCGACCTCCTCGTAAACAGGCTCACCCAAGAACTGTCTGCGGAAATCACTCCCAGGAGAAGTTTGAACCAGGAGAATGCCCCGCCTGCCCACAGAACGCCAGCTCCGAACCACAACACCACCACCAGGGGAGCCAGAAGTAGAGACGCCAGCCACCGCTACGATCCAGCAGCAACTTCAAGGATCCAAAAGCTGTACCAGGCGAACTGCTCCAAGGCCATGAGGGGAGATCCTAGACGGGCCCTTGCCCTACTGCATGATTCCATCTGAGCGTCTCTACAGCTACTTCAAGGATGTATTCGACCGTATAGCCGCGCAGCGCCCAGAGTGCCTCCACCCCCTGCCCCGTGTCGACGAAGCAGGTGTCCTGGAAACCGACTATACGCCCAAGGAAGTGATGTCCAGACTCTCAAAAACAAAAAACACAGCTCCTGGGAAAGACGGCATCCCCTACAGCCTCCTGAAAAAAGAGAGATCCCAGCTGCCTGGTCCTCACCACGCTCTTCAACCAGTGCAAGCGATTCTGCCGGACTCCCAGCTCCTGGAAGAAGGCCATGACTTTACTGGTGTACAAGAAGGGCGAGCGGGATGACCCCAGCAACTGGAGGCCCATCTCCCTCTGCTCCACAATGTACAAGCTCTATGCCAGCTCACCAGGTCGGTGAGCGGGGGAGCCATCGGTGTTGTACCAATAAAATAAAAACCAGCAGGATCTTATTAAAGGGAAAAAGGCAAAATACCACATTTATTGTGAATACAGAAAGAATCATAGAAAGCAGTTAGTTCTAGTTATAACATTCCATTCAATCTCATATTTATTCACACATTCATTCATACACACACACACACACACACACAGGTTCTGCAAGGTTGTTATCATAGTTACCAGCCTTAGAGTTGCTCATGCCAAGCCACTGGCCAGGTGGCCTGGACATGAGGAGGGAGCAGGGCCTTGTCAGATGCTCATCTGATGCTCCTGGAAGTTGGTTTGCAGAATCAGACCCCCCCAAAGTTCTCACTTTTTAGAGTCTATTTTTATAGGAATTTCTTCCTATGCCAGTCTATGGGAATTGCTTCATCATGCTGTTGCTGAATCAATCAGCAGATAGCACATTCCTGACGGCTCCAAGATGTTATCTTGTTCTTTGGTTCTCCCATTCTTGAGGCTGTTGGGTGGATTCCAGTCTGCCCTCCGGGGGGTCCTCTGGTTATTTCCACTTGACGCCTTCTTCAGCCCATGGACACTGGATTCTTAGGCTGGCAACTCCCTGATCATTCAGTTATTATCCACACCAAGCATCCATCCACATACATCTTCTATCTCTATTTTAATCACAATTGTTAATACAACAAAAGGGTGGGGAGTCTCTGGGTGTTGTTTCTGTTGTTAGAGTATTGCTTTGAGTCTCTCTCTCTGTGAATTGCTTTGAGAACAGACTCTGTCTTAGAATGTACTAACACAATTAGCAGCTTGCAAGTTTCACACATAGAGGGAGAGAAACAGTACCAAAAACCAAGAGACCTCTTAATTAGTAATACCCTGGAATTTAAACTCTGGGGAATCAAACTCATTTGTGATTTTAATACAGAACTTCTTTAATATGATCCAACATCGGCTCCATCCAGAAAGGCTTGATGTCCATAGGGCTGCTGTGAACACAACTTCATCCTCCAAACCACCATCAACTTGGCCAGAAGGGTGCGGAGGCAGTGCACAGTAGCGTGGCTCGACCTGGCTAACTCCTTTGGGTCCATGCCCCACCACCACATCTTTGCCACACTCCAGGAGTTTGGGATGCCAGAGAACTTCCTTCGTGTGATTCGAGAGGTGTACGAGGGATGCAGCACCACCATTCGGTTGGTCAAAGGGGAGACCGCCGAGATCCCGATCCGGAGCGGAGTTAAGCAGGGCTGTCTCCTCAGCCCCATCTTCTTTAACCTCGCCATGGAGCTGTTGCTGCGAGCGATCTCCAATGGCACAGATGGCTTCAACCTGCATGGTGAGAGGGTAAGTGTTCTGGCTTATGCAGATGACCTGGTCCTGACTGTGGATGACCCAGAGAGCCTCCAGCGTATGCTAGATGCCAATAGTCAAGCTGCCGACTGGATGGGGCTCCGCTTCAATGCAAAGAAGTGCGGAACACTCCACATCGATGGCAGCAAAAGGGACTTGGTGCAGTCGACGGAGTTCCAGGTCCAGGAAGAGCTGACGGGTTTCTATGTCCGGCAGACACCCAAGGACACCATCCAGGAGATCTTGCAGGACGCCGCCAAGATCGACGCCTCCCTGCTAGCACTGTGGCAGAAGATAAAACGCACTGAACACCTTCCTGATGCCCCACATCTCGTTCATCCTAAGGGGATCCGCCGTGGTGAAGGTACCCCTCAACAAGGCAGACAAGATCGTCCGGCCACTGGTGAAGAAGTGGCTGTTCCTTCCCCAGAGAGCCAGCAACGAGCTGGTCTGCATTGCCCACAGGCATGGTGGTGCCAACGTCCCCCGCATGGGCGACCTGTGTGACATTGCAGTGATCACCCACGCCTTCCGCCTGCTGACGTGTCCTGACGCCATGGTAAGGAACATCGCGGGAAACACCCTCCATGACGCGACAAAGAAGTGGATAGGCAGAGTCCCTTCCAACCAAGACATCGCCACCTTCCTGAGCAGTTCCCTGGATGGCGAATTCGGACGGCACAGGCGCGACATTGCTTCACTATGGTCCCGCGCTTGCAATGCCACGTGTTGCCTGGGGAAGTGCATTGGCTGCCACTGCTAGTGGTGCGAGGAGTGCCAGGAGCTGGGAGTCCTGGTGTCGCAGATCAGGTCCGACGACAATACCATCGTTACCCCGAGCGCCAGGGTCATGCTGGAGAGGACCCTGAAGGCAGCCATCCACTCACTGTATATGGAAACCCTGAAGCGTAAACCAGACCAGGATAAAGCCTTTGAACTGACCAACAAGTGGGACACCAGCAACCACTTCCTCACCGGAGGTGGCTTCACCCATTTCACCAACTGGTGGTTCATCTGCAGTGCCCGGCTCAACTGCATCCCACTCAATGGAGCCGTCTACCACGGGAACAGACACAAGCATCGCAGGAAGTGCGGCTACTCCAACGAGACCCTGTCCCACGTCCTGTGCAGCAGCAAGCCCCACTCCAGAGCCTGGCAGCTGCGACACAATGCCATCTAGAACCGCCTGGTGAAAGCCATCACACCACGTCTGGGGAAGGTCGCCGTGAACTGCGCCATCCATGGTACTGATAGCCAGTTGTGACCTGACGTGGTATCACCATCGAGGTCTAGAAAAAGATCATCCTCATCGATGTCACGGTCTCCTTTGAGAACAGGACTCTGGCCTTACGTGAAGCCCGAGCTCGTAAGCTGGAAAAATACACCCCCCTAGGCGACACCCTGAGAGCAAAGGGCTATGAGGTGCAGATGGATGCCCTGATCGTTGGAGCCCTGAGCGCCTGGGACCCCTGCAATGAGCGTGTGCTGCGGACCTGTGGGATCGGTCGACGCTACGCAGGGCTCATGCGGTGCCTCATAGTCTCGGACACCATCCAGTGGTCTGGGGACATCTACATTGAACACATCACCGGCCACCGACAGTACCAGGAGGTGTGAGCTGGAATGACATTGTGCATCAACTATGAGAAAAAGGACTGAGAGACTTTTACCATTGGACCATATGAACTGGAACCATAAACTCACTGAACGTTAAATCTCACCAAATTAGGGTAAATCCATCCTCATCATCGTATCCACTCATTATACTCCACACCTGAACATAGCTATTATATGAACAACATACCCCCATATCTCGATGTCTGTACTTTGACCCGTTAACCTTTTACCCCCAATCAGGGATATTGCAGATTATGTATTTCTTACGCCATCCAATCCTAAACCGAACTTCGCACCCCTTGATAATCTGTACCGTATTCCCTGATAACCAGAAACTTCTACGCTTAAACTCTGTATCATTTTTTAATTTAAACATCTTAATAAAATTATTAAATCTGAAGGAGGGAGGTTTAAAGTGGCCAAGGATAACTGTAATAATCATACTTGTTCTTCTATAGCACCTTCCTGTCTTACTCTAAACCCAAATACAGCCACAGGAACTGTAGTGGATATCCCCAGTGAGGTTATTCCTTAGTCAGACCCTTTTACTTTTCAAGGTGGAGCCTTGGAATAGAGAACACGAATAACAAGTTGTAAGTGTCCTGGTTAAAACATATCATGTGTTGTGTGTTTCATACTAGCATACTTTGGGTGCAGTCTGGCCACACACCTTCTACCATCCAAGCAGCACAGGTATCCAGTATAACTGCACTATTAAAATGTTATTGCTTTTACAGAGTGTTTCAGGCTTTTTCATATAAGTTCTTTAAAGAAGGCCCTAAATAGAAGGATCCTTTAAAATATTTTAGCTGATTATAATGTTAAAATTAGCTCCCCCTCCCCTCAAAATTTAAAGTACTACCGAATATAAGAGCCTGTCTGCAAAATACTTGTAGAGCACAGCTGGGAACATAACAGAAATTTACAAGGAGAGTTCTAACAACAAAAGTGGGCCAAGTGCTTTACATTAATCTCTGTTGCAGATCTTACTCGGTTTATCAGAATGCTGGCATCTTTCTTTGGAAATGTGAGTGGAAGTGACAACTAACACCATTTTTTTTTTAAACTCTCACTGAGTTTTAGTGAAACTTGTGGCTAAGAGTTCCAAGTTCTGTTTTGCAAACAGAACTTTACAATATTGGTTATATTCTTTGCCAGACAGACCTCCTCTTTTATTATGTTCTGTAAAAGGTTTAGCACAGTTCTGGATGCTGGAAAAAGTAGAACAGTAATCTGCAGATTTGGGACTTAATTCAGGAATATGCTGAATTCTTTCAATTCCCATTGGTTTCAATAGGAGTTGAGGATGCTCAGCACAATTTGGGATTGGATTTATAAGAATAAACTCTCTGCATGCATTTTGCTTAATAAAGATATCTGAAAATTTGAATGGCTAGAAGTACTTCTCACATGTGTGAACTTGCATTTCTAGGGTCATGGTCCTGCTGAAATGATTTTTGTAATACCAGCAGCAACGGAACACGATACAGGAGACTGTAAACCTTTTTCTTTCCATTAGGCTTTGGCGTGGACCAGTTACGAGATGATAATCTAGAAACTTACTGGCAATCTGATGGGTCACAACCTCATTTGGTGAACATCCAGTTTAGGTACTAAATATTTGTGTGATTTGTTGCATATGATAAAGCTAATAAATTGTGATTATAACTCTCATGAAAATGCATTCAAAATTCTGATTGACAAGGAATGCAGAATTGAGCTCTTTCATAGGGTGTGTCTACACTACCCGTCGAATTGGCAGGCAGCGATTGATCCAGTGGGGATCGATTTATCATGTCTAGTTTAGATGCGATAAATCAACCCCGAGCGCTCTCCCATGGACTCCGGTACTCCAGCTCCACGAGAGGCACAGGTGGAGTCGACGGGGGAGCGACAGCAGTTGACTCACCGTGGTAAAGACACTTAGATTAATTTACCATGGTATGTCGACTTCAGCTACGTTATTCACGTAGCTGAAGTTGTGTAACTTAGATTGACACCCCCTCCCCCCCCCCACCCGCCCAGTGTAGACCAGAGCTTAGTAACATGGTTAGGAGCCAGTTAGATTACTTCATTTGCAAAATCTGTTTTATAAATGCTCTTAGTTTTATTGTAGCAAATGACCAATTAAGCAATTGCAAAGTGAGTGCTGTGCTGGGTAATCTCTACAGTATCACAGCCTCTAAGATATGGTGATATGTCTGCACTAGTTTTCTGCTTGCTTTTGGCTGCAGTTCAAGATATGGGTGATATTTAGAACCCCGATTTAACTGCAGGTTAAAGCTGGGACACGTATCTGCTACAATGGAATACAGCATGAAAGAACTTGCTACAAGACTCTCTTGCACTCCATTAATGTGGTTGAATTCTCCCAAGACAGGTCAGGGCTTCAGCAATTGAGTCCTGTTCTCTGTTGATTCCCTCACAGAACTGCTTTCCTTAGCAGGGCACCATAGCCCAGGCCTGGCGAACTTTAGTGCATGATGAAAGATATATTGGCATTGGCTTGTGTTTAATTTTTGTGTTGTGTTGGCTTTTTTTATTTGACGTGTTGACAATGTGGTTGCTAACGTTTCTGTAGGCACGTGTAGTTTTCTATCCATTGTAAGTTGTTTTCTATTTATGTACTTTATAAAAATTATATGTAAATTCCTAGCTGCTACTGCACTAGGGATCCTAAAAATCAGCATAGTCACATTTTGTATCAAGTTTTACAACATTTAAATCTCATTCTAGAAAAAATCTCAAGAAACTCTTCCTTAAATAATTTTTCCTTAGCATGCTTGCTTAGCCTTTGCTGCTGCTTGTTTACAGAAGAAAAACAACGGTGAAGACATTGTGTATTTATGCAGACTACAAATCTGATGAAAGCTACACCCCAAGCAAGATCTCTGTCAGAGTAGGAAATAACTTCCACAACCTTCAGGAAATCCGGGTAAATCAATTATTCTTCATCTGATAATTATGATTCATATTTTTTTAAGAAGACATTGTCACCATTTCTAGAGCAGTAATAGAATTTGAGAGAAAATGAGAAATGTGAGATGTCAAATGCAAACTTGTATATAATTTTTTCATGCCCTTATTTATTTTCAGAATTGTATGTTTCACCAATAACATGCCCATGTATCACTGGCTTTGGGGAAAGGAGTTGCAGGTTTGCTCTTAAACCCAGGTCTCCCACATAGTGGGACGATGCATTACCACCAAGTGGGCCATTATTATATGTTGTGTCAGAAACTTTGCTTTGCCTTTGCAGGGAACGTGGGTTTTTATTTTGGTATTTGCTTGTAGTCTTGGAATATCTAAATATTTCCTTAAATTAGATCCCACCAATATCCAATGCCATTATTTACATTCTCCTCATAACAAAGCTCTATAACAGGGGTCTCAAACTCAATTTACCTTAGGACGTGTGCCAGTCCCCAAATCCTCCCAGCGGGCCAATAATGTCACTGAAGATGGTGTTCAGAAAAGAAAATGTTTATATTGTATTTTTTATTTCGAATTTCTTAAAACAATAAAACTGTCATAAACTTTATTCAATTCTTCACCTGTCAGAGAGTTTTTAGTGTTTGCGAGACACCTGGCAATGCTTCAGTTCTGTCAGTTTGTTGATGTTTGGCCTCCGTGGCTGAGCAGTTGAAACCTTCAGGATTGCAGCGAGGTGTGCATTGGATAGTTGTGTTCAGTATTTTGATATTGTTTGTATTCATTGTGGGAAAAAAATGATGCTCCCTCCATGGCTGACTTTGCCTGGCAATTAATGATGCTGCCTTCATGGCTGACTCTGCCCAGTGATTAGTGATGATATTTCTGTCCCTCTCCCCCAGCCAATGGGAGCTAAAGGGGGGGCGGCGCCTGCAGCAGACATTGCCGGCAGCGTGGCTGTATGCATCTCTCCTCCGCTGGCCACAGTGGGGAGGTTCTCGGGCCGCAGATGGCCTGCGGGCTAGGACTTTGAGACCCCTGCTCTATAACTCTAAGGGTATGTCTACACTGGCAGAGTTACATCGCCGGCAGCTATATTGCCGCTTAGAGTGTACTGAAGGGAAACCACTGTTGTGTGTTCACACTGTCAGTTGCCTGTGCAATACCCTGTTCACACTTAGATCGATATTCAGAGCGGTGCATTCTGGGAAGCTATCCCACAGAACATCTCCTCCTCTTCTGCCACTAAGAGTTGTGGGAAGGCGGATGGGGTTGTGGGGCATTCTGGGTCCTGTCCCAGTGACCTGTGATGCATTTCTTCGCATTCCAGCAATCCCTGTGCTTCCGTCCGCATTTGGTGCCATCTTTCAATGGTTTGTGTACTGTGTGCTCTGCCTCTTCGGTCTGCAGGAATGGATCCAGCACTGTTGACCAATATGCTACTCGCTCTCACTAACACGTCATGATTGGCAGTGGAGTTATTCATTAAACTACAAAGGCAAGAGGAGTTTGACATTGATTTCGCCATGTGTAGTAGCTACGACACAAGATTTCTTATGGCATTCATTGAGGTGCTGACCACAGTGGAATGCCGCTTTTGAGCTTGGGAAGCAAGCACTGAGGAGTGGTGGGATCCCTTTGTGATGCATGTCTGTGGCTGCAGAACTTTCGGATGAGGAAAGCCACATTCATGAGACTGTGTGATGAGCTCGCCCCAGCCCTGCAGCGCAAGGACATGAGAATGAGAGCTGCCCCGTCGTTAGAGAAGCGTGTGGTGATTGCACTGTGGAAGCTGGCTACTCCAGACTGCTACCAATCAGTCGCTAATCAGTTCGGAGTGGGAAAGTTTACCCTTGGACTCGTGTTGACGGAAGCGTGCAGGGCCATCAATCACGTCCTGCTCTGAAAGACCATGACTCTGGGCAACGTGCATGACATTGTTGATGGCTTTGCACAAATGAGCTTCCCTAACTGTGGTGGGACGATCGATGTCAGTTATATTCCAATTCTGGCACCAAACCACCTAGCCACCGAGTACATTAATCACAAGGGGTATTTCTCAATGGTTCTCCAGGCACTTGTGGATCACCGTGGGCGTTTCACAGACATTTAATGTAGGGTGGTCCAGGAAGGTGCATGATGCACACATCTTTTGGAACACTGGCCTGTTCAGGAAGCAGGGACTTTCTTCCTGGCTCAGAAGATCACTGTAGGGGAAGTTGAAATGCCCATTGTGATCCTGGGAGACCCTGCCTACCCCTTAATGACATGGCTTATGAAGCCATACATGGGGAACCTTGACAGCAACAAGGAGCAGTTCAACAACAGGCTGACAAAGTGCAGAATGACTTTTGAGTGTGCTTTTGGCATTTAAAGCCCCGCTGGTGCTGCCTATATGGGAGGCTGGATCTGGCCAAAGACAATATTGCTATGCTTATAGCCGCATGCTGTACGCTCCATAATGTTTGTGAAGGGAAGGGCGAAAGCTTCACTCAGGGCTGAAGCGCTGAGGCTCAGCGCCTGGAGGCTGAATTTGAACAGGCAGAGACCACGGCTATTAGAGGGGTGCAGCATGGGGCCATAAGGATCAGGGATGCCTTGAGGCAGCAATTTGAAACTAAAAGCCACTAATGTTTGTTGCTATGCTCAGGAGTGCAGTGCTTGTAATGCTAGGGGGTGATTGTGGTTGGTGCAGACGATGCACTGTGAAGGTTTAAGAAAACTGCCTGTTGCTTTGCAGGGCTCTGTTTGCTTTAAATTAATGAAATATTGTTTTCAAACCCAGGCCCTTATGCGGCTCACCTGTGTGCAGCAATGGTGTGTGTCTTCCCCCACTCGTGACGGCAGAGTGGTGTGGGAAAGTTACCCTTAATGGGGCAAGAAACAAAGCAGCTCTGCCAAAGAACCTGTGGCAGCGGATTACCCAGTATCTACATGAGTTTTGTGGAGATCTCTCTGGCAGATTCCTGTGAAGTGAGGGAGTCCATCAACACCCTGTTCCGCTGCCTACACTAAGCATGTGGTGGTATGTGCATCATCTAGACACAAGCCTGCTTTCTGCAACCCTTCTGCCCCCAACAACTTATTTCAGTGATTCCCCAAATCAAAGCCACTTACCGGGGCCTCCTCTCCTGTTTGCGCTTTGCCAAGTTCTGGCAGCTGTGACTGGTTAGCCTCCTCTGGGGTAGAGAAGAGCTCCTGGCTGCATGCATCTCTGACCTCCAAGTCATCCTCTGTCTCATCCACATCCTCATCCAAGATTTCCTCTTCCTGGCTCGGTCCACTCTTGACTGGCACGTGGGCCACTGAAATATCTACAGGGGCCTTCGCAGTGGAGGTGGGGTCGCCGCCTTGTATCGCATCAAGCTCTTTGTAGAACTGGCAGCTCATGGATGCAGCACCAGAGTGGCAGTTTGTCTCCCGCGGCTTGTGGTAGGCTTTCTGCAGCTCTTTCACTTTGACCCCACCCTGCAGTGTGTCCTGGTCTGTCGTGCATTGTGAAATCTGTCCGGTGTCATAATTCCTATGGCTGGAGCGCAGCTGGGACTGGACAGCCTCCTCTCCCAAAATGCTGATGAGGTCCAGCAGCTTGGCATTGCTCCAAGCGAAGAATTGCCTGGTGCGTGGAGCAGGCATGGTCACCTGAAAGATGCGCTGAGACCACTGCACGCATCACCGAGCAAACAGGAAGGGGACTTTCATAATTCCCAAGGAATTTTCAGGGTGGGGCTCACGGTTGGTCACATGAGGGCAGGGCAGTAGAGTTCAAAACGATGACCAGAGAGGTGAGAACGGGCATTGTGGGACACCTCTTGGAGGCCAGTTGCAGCGCTGTAATCGATCAGGGGGTTGACACTGGCACTGCAGCGCTGTAGCCCCAGCACAGAAAGCTGTACGCCTCTTGGCCGGGTGGTGTGTTTGTTTTTTGTTTTTGTTTTTTGTTTTTTTTAAACAGTGCTGCAGCTGCACAGTGTCTGTGCACTAAGTGGCTTAGCAGTGTGTACACCTCGGGAGTTACACTGCAGAAAGCTGCTTTACTGCGCAGAAAGTTGCCAGTGTAGACAAGGCCTGAATATGTAGATCTTATAAGGGATGGGATTTTCAAAAGTGTTCAGTATTGGTTTAGTTCCCATTGAAGTCAATGGTAGTTTTACCACCAAAAGTGTACTTACACTCTGATGTGGAGGCTCTGGTTTTAAATGCTTCTGCAGCTTTAGACTGAAAACTAGCAGAGGTGGTAATATCAACCATGAATCATCTTTCTTAATTTCTTTATGAAACAAATGGGCAATTAAGACATTCTGGTACCGAACTAGAAATAAGTGTTTAAGAATTTAGGAGGAAGAATTTTGATGGGTGGCACAGGTGTACAGTGCTACATAAATATTCTTTGCAATCAGATGTTTCTTACTTCTAGGACGTTAGGCTATATAGCTAAGGTCAAATTCTAAAAATAAGGCCTAAATCTCATTTACATTAAGGCCTCTTTGCACTGTTCTGGCAGCGTAAAGGGGCATTTCATAGTGACCAACAGCTGATTACCCTGTAATCAATAGTCATTGCAGAGGGGAAAATCACAGTACTAACTCTTCCAAAACTTGAAGTACTTCAGAACTATGTGAGATCAAAAATGCCTAGATTAGGTTACAATTGAAGACTATCAGTAGAAGTATGTTGAAAAACAGACAGGTGTGCTGGTAAATACTACTTTGCTTTTGGATCTTCATACTTTTTTTGTTTTTTTGTTTTTTAAATGGAGCTCCTGACCACTTCCTTTATACTTCTGTTGCACTGGCCAGCAGCAGCTGGGAGTACACATGGGTGTAATGCAAATATATGTTGAAAAATCTTATATTCATTTGTCAAAAAGACTTCTCAAAACTAAAAGAAAAGGAGTACTTGTGGCACCTTAGAGACTAACCAATTTATTTGAGCATGAGCTTTCGTGAGCTACAGCTCACTTCAAGTACTCCTTTTCTTTTTGCGAAGACAGACTAACACGGC